ATTAGAGGGAAAAAAAGTGTTACACTGGAGAAATACTGGAAGTGTTAAAAAAGATACACTGAAAAGAAAATGGTCTTTCTTTTTCCTTATGCTGTTTATTACAAGCTTACATAATTTAAAACATTTTTTTTTACAGCACACAGAAGTGTCTTGATCCAGTGGTAAAAGTCTTATGCAGTGGGCATTTTGAGTTTTAGAGAAGTCATCTTTCTGCAGTCATTTAGACCCACAATAAACAGCAGACCATTTATTTTCTGATTCCTCTGGTATGTCTCTTTTGTTGTTTTCATCTTGTTTTAGATTCTAAGTTTGTTAACAAACGGGTTTGGGAGGAAATTAATGTGGCTTGGCTAAAGTGAATGGCAAAACTGCCTTAAGTAACACCTTGCCCTGCACACAAACCTCCAGGCCACAGGGTGATGTGGCAACATTCAAAGATAAGTAACAATTGCCCCATTAGGCCACGATTTACTTCACTTCTAGAAGAGATCTAATCTAAAAAATAATGCTAAAAGAACCCACAGACGGATTTTGAAATGCACCTGACATGTCGAAGTGCTTGGGGAATAATTTAACCTCACAACAAGAACTGGACATTGCGTTTGCCTTACAGAAAGCTTTTCAGTTCCTAGAGATGCAGTTCCTGAAAATGCTCTTCAGAAGCAGATCTTGACATGAAGATGTTAGGAAGGAGATTCTTCTTTTTTTTTTTTTTTCAAGGAGCCATCAAGAATTTCTCACGCTGTTCAAGAAAGTTGTTTCCAGGAGTTGATTCAGCCTGTTCTTCAGCAGGTAGGAGGATGTAACCTTTGGAAGGTACCTTCACTGCTGATTCCAGAGGGAGCCTAGATGTCCAACTTTGATTAGACACCTCCCTTTCAAACACTTAACCATCATTTGATGACATGCTTCTTATTTTAGGCCATATAGAATAGAAGTGACAATGTGCCTATTTGTATTTTTGGCCACCTAAAATCAGTTTTAAAATTAGACTTTCATTCTTAAGCTGGTTTGGATACCAGAAAGAATAACTATTCTCAGAAGTAGGCTCAGGCTTTCATGGCAAAATTATTTCAATTTAAAAGGAGTGACTATTTTTTAGCCATTTAAAAATAATTAAAACAATGAGTAGTTTTTCATATGAAAGTGGTGAAAGCAAAGATGTTGCCAATATTTTTCTTCGTGAAGTTTACTAAATGGAGAACTGCAGTTCTTGAGCTTCTTCCACAAAGTGCTTTTAATCAGGGCTCCCTTGCAGAGTCAAAGAAGGTAATGGCTGAGAGTCCCAAGGAAAGAACATTTAAAGGGCATATTGATTGAAAGTTAATGTTCTCTTAAAAAAATAAATCCAGAAATCTGACATTATTGCTTGTGTTTCAGAGCACTGCTGTACAGTAGAAAAGCTGTGAGTATTTCAGCACACTCACATGCCTTGAGCACCCACCTGGTGTTAGAAAGGGCAATAGAAAGGTTTTTGAAATATGATTAATGTGAATGCTTTGCCCATTCCTCTCAGAAATGGCCCTATAGTGGCCAAAGTGACTCCAGCCTCAAGCCTGATGCTTATGTTTGTCCTGCCTTGAATGCCAGGACTAAGCCATTAGTAGCAAGGCAATTTATCCACAGCAGAACATCTCTGCCTCTTGAGTTTATAGTGTTGGGGGGAGTGACTTTTCATTCAGTCATGGTGACAGATTGCCTGAATTAAATGCCACGCATTTCTAGCAGTTACTGACATCTGACAAGCTTGGTAGCAGCTCTCTCTTACATAAGTGATTTTCTTCCAGAAGGAAAGTACTGGGGGTTTCACAAACAGCTCACCAACAAGGCAGAATGTTTATTCTGATTCTTCATAGTTGTAAAGAATTGTTTAAGCTACAGAGCTTAGATCAGGAGCACACACAAAAATCAGTCAGCTGGGAATGTGATGAGTACAGTTTCTGTATTTCTGGGGCATTTAGAGGCATATGAGTTTCGAGATACTAAAAAAAGCAAAGGATAGATAAGCCTTCACTTTTCACCTCTCTAGTGGAAGATGCCCCTGCCCACAGCAGGGCATTTGGAACTAGATGATCTTCAAGGTCTCTTCCATCCCAGGCCATTCTGTGATTCTGTTTTGTGATTCTATAATACTTTTTGTCTGAGTACTGTCTGATGAGACTGTAAAATATGCTGAAAAATAACTTAGATGCATCTGAGATGGTGCAACTATCCTTGAAACAAAGGGCAGTTACATCGATGAAAAGATTTTGGTGGATACCATTGATCTTCAGGTGAAGTTCATCATGAATGTATTCTGTCACACAACATACACTGCTATTGAAAGATATATTAGTGCTTAAAAATGAACAAACTTGGCCATTTTGATTCCTCCAGTTATGTTTCCCCATAAAATGATACAGATTATAAAGAATTACTGAAAGTTCCTCTAACCCCATGATAGAAATGAATTCCTCTGTTCCTTCAGCTGCATTTCTTTGTGTTGAGGAGAAGCAGAATTATAGTTAGTGTGAGTTAACCAAGTTAATTATCAGTGTCCTGAGAAAGATTGGAGGAAAGCAGTGTTCAAAGATGAAGAGCATGACTGGGGTTAAAGGTTGAACAAATAAAACAAATAGTTTCTTGGACACAAAAATCATGTGGCTACTTTTTAATTACCATGAGAACTACAGAGGGCTTTCCAGTAAGAGCACAAAACAACATGAATAATGTGAGATACATCCTTATCAGCATGGAATGATAATTAACAGTTATGTACAATTCCAGTTCTGCAACTCAAAAAGCAAGAACAAAAAAGCACAATAACTGTGCAGTCATTAATGAGGCCCTGATAATGTAAGTCCCCATAGTGTCTTCATGTGGAGGGACTTGCTCAATAGAATTATTCACATTTCTGCATGTGTGTAACTGGGGCAGTAGGTGCTGCTGCCTATTCCCTGTGGTGACTGATACCTGCAGCAAAAAATAGCTGGATTTTTTTTAATGTCTCACTGAATTTAATGACCACTAGCAGCTTACAGGGCCAGCAGTGAAGTGGTAAAAGAATCTGTCCTTATGAAAGTTAACAAAGCTTCAATATACAGCTGGGTGGAAGGTGACAAAAGATTTCCTAATAACAACTGAAAAACTGTTTTTAGTTAGTAGTTAGAAGTAACCATCTCTCCATGTATTTTCGTGTATTTTAAATTTTGAGTGTGACATAGAAAAAGATCTAAGGAAAGCAGGAACTTTACAAATGCTTTCCCTTATCTCAACGTGTACCTTTTAATCCCTTTGCATTCAGAATTTTGCAATGCAAATATATGTCACCCTTTGTGAACTTAAGTGAGAATGGATGAAACACACTGCTTACACAAGTTATGCTTTCAGGGTCGATGCAATACAAATGTAAAGAAATTTGAAATATTTCACCAGTTTGATAGATTGTCTGTCAAGTAGCCAGGATGATCACTGTTTTCTTCTTCAACTGTAAAGACAAAACACAATGGGGGAAACATAAGTTGTAGATAAAGGGAAGTTCAGTCAGGCAAAGTTTTCAGGAGATAGATGTGCCTCAAGCGCAGACCTAGTGTAATGTGACTTCTTAGCTAAGAGGGGCAGGCATCTCTAGAAATGATAATGTCTTCTCTCATTTTAAATGTAGGAATTTTTCTGTTTGCTGAAGAGCAAAGATACAAACCATGTCCAGAGGGGTATCTTAGTATAAGGCAAAAATTTTTCATGCAGAGGAAAATAACGTATTTGTTCTTTATTTGCACATTGCCCTCAGTCAAGAGGATTCTAAAATCAACTGAAAATTACCCTCTGAAAGTGTATGGCTTGTCCAGGTTTGAACATCTTATTATTCCCTGCTCAATGATGGCAATGTTATTCCACATAGTATTTTTTTCAAACAGGCTGCCAGTTCTGCTGTGCTCTCTCAGATATGTCACCTTTTTCCTCAGGAGGTTGTTGCTGTCTACCCTCTCTTGGGAACAACAGCAGCATTCAGGAAAATACCACTAAAATTTATAAAAGTGCACCTGCAGAGGATTTTCTCTATTTGCTAGCATACAAATGACACTTTCACTGTTTTATCTTTAGAACTGCTCATATATTTTGTCCAAAGCACAATGCTAATTTTTAAGTTTGCCTCTATCTCTTTGCAAAATGCCACTGAATTTTTTTTTTTTTTGTTAGTGTAGTTAGGCCAGGACAGGGAAAAAGAGCTGAACATGGACCCTCAGCACTATATGAGGTACAGTGGGAGATTTTAGGATGTGGCAAAGACAGGAGTGGTTCCAACACACCTGTCCATACACCAGGTAATTTCTGGGAGGTGTTTCTCACACCCTCTTAGCATTTCAGGAGAGGTGTCAAAGGTACAAAATCACCTCATAATTTACTAGGGGTTTACTTCACATTTCCTAATTCAAGTAAAGCCCTTTTTTTCCCCTGTCAGCATGTCATCGATTGATAGTCTGAATAAGGAACTCACAGCCAGGTGGTTTTTAGCCACCTTGTGTTCCTCCCTGTCCTGAACCAAAGAGGGGAAGAGCATGATTTGGACAAACTCCTGGGCTTGTATGTGCTACTACAACCTCCCCAGCACCCGGGGCCGGAGCACAGCACAGAGTCTCCACAGTCTCTAGGGTGTATCCTCCTCTCTGTCCTCCCAAAAAAAGAGTCTGTGTCCCTGCAGAGGTGAAGAGGTGAAAGGCATAAAGAGAGAGGGTCTCAGCCTGGTGAGCTGTATCTGTTCATCAGACAACGAGGGGATAATGGCCTTGCAGGAAAGCTGCTGTAGAGAGGAAAGGTGGTTTATTCGGGGTGAGGGAGCTGGGGAACACAGGATAGGGGTCCTCGTCCAAGGCAGTACAAAATGTACGAAGGAGGTGAGGGAAGACAAGTTATTTAAGCCTGACTCAGCAGCTGGGTGTTGCTGAGGGGTGTTGTGGAAGGAGGATGTGTGTTCTGAGGTTAAGTGAGAAGTGGAAGCACGTGGCTGGTAGTGAGGCTTCAGGGTCTGGAGGGTTAGACGATATCTCTGGGAGGCTGGGAACACGTGAATTATGGGATTTTTCAGGATGTTCCAGAGCTCTAAGTGTCACTGGGACCTCTTGTCAGCTGTGCCAGCAGCTGGGTTTTCAGGAGCCAAATGTGAATCCCACATTTCCTCTGCTGGGGCTTTTACAGATTCTTTAAAGCCTTTACACGAGGACACAAGATCCAGTGGAGGAATGAAAATTTTAAAAGCAAACAACATTCTGAAGAAAAAGGAGTCCCAGTAAAGATTTGGCTTGGAAAATTCAATTCAAATTAGCCATTCCCAAATTATCCAAATTAGCCATTTAAACCAGCAAAAAATCTGAAAAGTAAATTAAAAGCAGAATATAAAAAAATATACCTGTTGTCATTTATGTGACTCTTGTTCTAATCTGTGCAAATGTAACACAATGCACTCTGTAGAACACCATCTCAATCCAAACTAGATCAATTTACTAAGTTGTTAGTAAATGAAATGCTGAAAAACTCCTTTTTAAAAAGGTCAGAGTAAGACAAAACATGCATTTACCTTCTTTTGCTTTCTGTAAGGAACTAAGGAACAGTGCAGCAGCTTCAGAAAGAGATAAAGGATTTGTGTTTTGGCTTCGTGTTTCTAGAATGATAAAATCACAGATGCATGGTTTGTTAGCATCTGAGGGCATTTCTTTGCTTTGTTCTTTGTTTTATTATTATTTATGTAACTAGAGACACAAGGACAAGAAAATACTGTTATCTCCTTCACTCTGTAACATTCTCTGCTGAGCCTGATAGATAACACAGAAGATATTAGCAATCTTTTTAGGAGGGAGGTTATTTCAAAGTCTCTTTTCTTTTTTTGTATGTTCCTTACTTTGCTACAAAAATGTTTCCTCCAAAAACATTGGCTAGCACAGGTTAATGTTGTCTAATTTTGTAATTTTTTCAGTTCAGCACAATTAATAACTTGACTTGATTTTTTCCCAGTGGAAAAAGCAAGTCAAAAGTACTGATGAGAATCTCACTTAGCAGCCAGGTCAGTCTGGAAATTATGTAAATAAAGTCACACAGGTGCACAAGAATGGAAAGCCACTTTGTCATGGGCTTTTTGGAGAGAAGGAACTAACAAAAGGGGGTTTAATTGCTTCCTTGTATACGATTCCAGGAGAACAAATCCCACAGATTTCTCCCATAACCTGTGGAAAGGTCAGTGCATTACCTGCCCCTGTGCACTGCACTTACCAAGCTGCATCCTGTCGTACAGATCCTTCCTCTGGCTCTCCTCTGGGATGAACCGACGTCCCTCTACAAGAGCAGTGGGAGAAGGGTTAAAAACAACCTCCCCAGCGTGTTGGAATTCCTGCTTTACAGTCCCCACAGTGCTCGTTTCAAAATGCAGAATTACAGCACTACTTCTACAAGCATAACGTGGGAGATGTAAGTCCATCTCAGGGTCTTTCCAAATCAAGATTAGCCCATCCTGGACCGGAACACTCAGAGACATCCTTTATTCCATAGAACTGGTGTTTCAGCACTTTTCTTTCTTGTATTAACCTGCTGTAGGAACAGCACTTAGGGAGGAATTTATTTTATTTTCCTCCCTCTTTCCTACTCTATGGTCAAGAGCCTTCAATCTCTTTGCTGGACTATAAAGTATTGCCTTTTAAAGTGATATTTCTATTTTAAAAAGTGTAAAAAACCACCCCAAACTAACAAAACAAAGTCACATTTCTTCCTATGCAGCAGTAAGAATAATGCAAAGCTTGGCATAGAAGTAATACAATTCAGTTGAAATAATTAAAAAATAAAAACAAACAAAAAAGTGAAAAATTCTTTATTTTATGAATAGAAATTAATGTCACAAGAACTTCTTTCAGTTATGTTTATGTTTGGAGACTATATTTATTTTGTGTTGCCATTATTTGTTTTGTCTCCCTTTTGCATTTCTCTCAGGATTATGACCTTCATTTTTTTTCTAATTTCAAGGAAGCTATTTTTCTTGCTCTCTTAATACCTACCCTACCTAATAGCTTTTAATTTTGAAACAACAATTCAGAGTGTAATTTATTAAAAATATTAATATTTCCATAGAATTTTTTGGGTTTGAATGGAAGGAAAAAACTCTCTTTGGCTCTGAATTTTATTTTTATATTTAATTGTACTTTAACTCTGGACTAGCAGCAGAAACTCAAAATGTCATTTACACCACCTTAACATCACAATATTGATCTAAGTTCCTCTTAGAAGAGGTTGCTTGTGGTCTTAATACCAACTCTGATGCAAAGATGCTTGAAATAAGAATGTGTGTTCTCCTACTGCTTGAGAAGCTGTTTTAATAAAGCCTGAACAGGAATAAAGAAATAATAATTATATCCAGTATGTTTTAATCCCCCTTTAAAATTATTTCAGGTAAGTAAACTGCTTTTCTAACAGGTTTTACAATGAAGTTTCAAACTCTGCATGTTTTCAGCACTTTCTTCTCTTTTCTCCTTCCAACACTTGCTTTCTTCAGTTTGATTTCTTTATAAAATAATAATAATAATAATATTGCCAATGCCACTGTATCAGAGACAAGAAGAAATAACTAATTAGCACATCCCTGCAGTCCTCAGAGCTTCTACCTCCACAGCATCCTCAGGATTTACTGCTTGTGTGGAGCCAACATCTCTTCAGAACAGAAAGAGCTCGGGACTTACGTGCACCCTTCAAATAGAGCATGGCCTGAGGAGTCCAGTTTCTCCTTTGGAAATGAGCCTTCACACAAAACAAAAACAGAAAAGAGACATGTCAGCATTGCATGGCTTTGCTAATTAGTACAAATACTTAGTGGCACCAACCTCTGAGCTCCACGGATGAGGCGGGTCCAGCCTGAGCAGCTCACCTGAGGGGCACTCCAGGAGAACACAACAAAGGATGCTGCCAGGAACAGTGCCAGCCCTGATGCTGTCAGTTTATGCAGCCCCTGTGCACAACAAAGAGCAAACGAGGCACAGGAAAGGACTTTCAGACCTGTAGATCCTCTCAACTTCACATCTAAATGTGAGGATGTTTCCCTTTGTTGCTGCCTTGCTGCCAAACCCCCTCTTGCTCAGTGGGTACTTCAATGCACACTGCTCTGATCAGAGGATGGATATTAAAACAAACATGCTTTATTCTCTTCAGTCAAACTCATTGTAAAGGTTAGAACTGCCATCAAGGCAAGTATCTTTTGTGCTCCTATTTGCAAAGACGTCAGATCCTCCAAAAATGAGAATAATGTACAAACTGAGGGGAAAGGTGGTATGAAGTCTACCTTGATTTTACCAAACCTTAGACAACAAGCAAATGTGTCGTTCCAAACAAACAAGCCAACCAACAAGGAGACCAAATCACTACTTCTCAAGTTCAAAAAGGAGTTTTTAAACTTATCATCCTATTAACATCAACCATGATTACACACATGTCATGAGACAGGGGTTTTTTTGATTCTTGGAGCCTGTCCACTGGTGCAGCACATGCAAATGAAAGCACCAAGCGTGAATCCTCTGTGAATAAGTTGTATCTCTGCTTGTGCTCACAGACCATGTTGTTATTCATGTCTTGAGTATAGTGATGGGCAATAGAGAGCATCTAACACCATGATTTCATTCACCGTGGTTTATTTCATCCTGGTTATGTTCTTTTCTTAGTGCAGTTGTTTCAAGAACACTAAATACATCTATTTATATGTTTGCCACACGTTATTTTTAAGGTAAAATCATTAAGCCCCTCTGCAGTTCCTAAATATTGCATTCACATGAAAAACACCATAAATTGCAAGCTGAATGTTTCCTACACACCAAAAAAAAGTCTCACTTACCTTCATATTTATCTCAGCAGCAAACCTTCAGTCTTCTTTTCTCGGGATAACGTGTCACAAGACCTCGTACATGTTCAGAGGTCCCTTTTTAAACCTTTGGAGTGCAGGTGCCCTCCCCTTTCATGGCAGGGCGGAGGAGTCTGAAGGGATCTGTTGTCAGCCCTGTAGATGGAGAACTAGAAGGTCTGATGACTCCTGAGGGAAACCTGTAGTCTTGCAGGAAGTCATGACTGAAATGATTGAAAGACGGATACCCTTGGAGATGCACCCCATTAACCAGGTGAATACCCTGTGAATACATCAGCCCTGTGCATCTGCAGTACGTCACCTTCTTGCTGGATGATCAATAATCACAGACAGAGCAGATATTAATATGGATGATGAGTGTTTACCCAGGATAGTCTAACTTATATCAGATTACTATCCACTGTGGGAGCTGGAAAAGTTGGTAAGTTACTTGCCAGTCATAACGTGCCAGCATCCAGAAAAAAAATGACTTATCCAGTGTCACTAGCTTGAGGCTATTCCTGGCATACATTTTGAGGAAGCAGTCTCTTGTTTGATTCTCTAACCATCTCTTGCATCTATTTTTCTTACACACAAGCAAAAATGCAAAGCCGAATAATAATAAAAAAAAGGAACCAAACCCTGAACTCTTAATAATCAGAAACACTTTTCTGTCTCATGGACTGGGTGGAGTAAAAGCTCAGACCATGGGCTTGAATAGGTCAAAGCAGAGCAGTAAACAGAAAAAAGGCAGGAAGCAGGGATCAGAGAAGCCACTTCCATAAGCTACTTCTGAGTGATGGCTGGACTCGCTGCAATCATGGACAGTGGGTTTGGTCCTCGGGCAAAGAGCTTATCATGCTCGATGCCTGGCCTTGCTTGCTCCATCAGTCCTCCTGCCTTTTTTTCTCTGTAAAATAGGAGATGGAAGCAGAAGGGGAAAGCAAAGCAAAGCAAAGAGGGAGTTAGAAATTGACTGCTTAGAATTTTCTTGCAGCAGCCTCACAAACAGGGCCAGCCTGTGGCATAACAAAAATCCAGGTGGGCCCATACGTGTGACAAACACTTGCTCTGGATGTCTGTGGAGTCTGAGGGAGGAGTGTGCACACAGGCACTGCCACAGCCTGCTCTGAACTTTTCCCTGGCATGATGTGTCCTTGGAGACTCCTCTGAAGAACACTGTTAGTGGAGGTGCCATTGCTGTCCAGGTTTTTGGGGGGATATCGCTCTGTTCTCTGCTCATAGTTCATTGAATATACAGAATTAGCATTAGCTGCAGTTCACTTTGGTGTAGACACAAGAAGCAAGAAGTTCAGGTTTTGGTCTCAAGCAGCTCTTGTGATGGCTGGGAGATGCTGTTTTACCTTTTTAAAAGGCCATGCCATGATGCATCCTAGCTAGCAGTGAGGATTCTACTTGCATCTACTTCAGTGGAAAGTATATGTTTTCCCTGCTCTTTTCCTCTTGCCCTGACAGATCAGAGACATTTCTTGATGATGTTTAACCCTTAGCCTTAGAAGGGAACTATGCATTGCATCCAGGAGACATTTAACATGCAGAGACTTGGAAAAGGTAAAACTACTCACCTATTTCCTTCTGAAGTGACTTTAGATCTTCTCTTTATGCACAGACCACAGGACCAGTATCAAAACATTCAGCTGAGCCTGTGAAAATTAACCCCCTGCCTTCGGTGTCAGTCACTGTGAAGCATATTCTCTTCATGAGGGTTCTCCTTGTGATAGAAAAACCAGAATGGGTTTGGCACTGAAAATAAACACTGCTTTTCCTGCCCCTGGAATGAGACGAGGCAATGCAAAACAAACTGTGAAGACAGCCAGCTGAGCCCCTCCTGTTGGAACAGGGGAGAAGAGGAAGGGAATGGGAGGCATGGAGAAAGGTTTGTGTTGCTACCACACTGCAGAAAGCAACTTCAGCTTTTCTTATTTGTGACCACTTTGCAAAATCTGAGCTGCCCTGAGCTGGTGTTGCCAGAGTCTCTCTCTCTCTCTTCCAAACCTGGCTGTATTCCCATAGTCCCACTGGCCTCCTTGTAGAGACTGAGATTTGTTTGAGGCTGCCTGGAGGGATCAGGGAGCTGAACTGGACAAGTCCAAACCTGAACTGGGTTATGGTGGGGTCAGATGACTGTCAGCTCAAGACCAAATGCGGGATCTTGACAGCATCATCTTAAGTTAAATGGTTTTAGTGCTGTACCATCAGATGTTTCAGTGGCACCTCTGAAGGTGTGTGTGTGTCTTCATTGCCTTCAAACAGCATTTTGCACAGACAACATCAGGTGCAATGAACCCAACCCCAAGTTTCATTTCCATATTTTTTTCAAAAGGTTTTTATTTTTTACCTTAAATTCTCTGTGCCTTTGTGACTTAGGGCTCTATATTAATTTATTTTTACTGTGACCAGTGATTCCAAGTTGCTTTGGTGTTTCAAAAAGGAGAGTGTTTGCATTCACAAGATAAATGTGGATGTGTATGGGCATATGTGAGCTGGTACTCCTGGAAAATGAAGTGGCCTATAATTGGGTTATGGATCATAAAACACTAAAAAACTGCAGCACTTCAGGATGGTGAGCTGTACACAAAACACTCATTGTCAGTGCTGCCATTTCTCAGCTGATTCACGTAGAGGAGGAAGTGGCTTTGGCATGTAATCAATACCCTGCGTGAGAGAAGTAGAGTGAAGCTTGTTATAGCCAGCACGACCCCTTATTAGAAAGAAAATAACCTATTCTTATTCCTAAAGACAATCTAAAGGGCAGGGAATGCATATCCTGACACTGCAAATGATAAAAAGCCAATTTCTGGGATTGAAGTTCAGTGCTGAGGTGAGTGAAAAAGTTCCCCTGTGGTGGAGTTTTGACTGCTGGGGTCAAACCTGCATCACTGACTTGTGTCGTGACTGCGTTCTTTCCCAAATATTTCCCTAAAAATACAGGCTACAGTCACTGGGCCTGTATATTTTTAACTGCTGGTAAGGGCACCAGTGATCCGTGGCTTGCCTTTGAGTAAGAGGTGTAGCTGTTGTGTGTGGGTGGCCAGGAGGTACGTCAGCAAATACGATATTCTGATGCTGTCAAGGTACAAATCTCCTGAAACTTATGACCTTTGTTTTGTGTTTATTCTCATTTCCTTTGTTCTTTCCTGCTAGTTTGTTAACTCTCTGGGAAGTAAATCTCACTTCTGTCTGGCACCTGAGCAGCACCTAGAACAGGGGTAGTTGTGGCTCCTACAAACAAACCACAGCATCTCAAAAGGCTGTGAAATATCACGGCAGAGTCTGCAAGGCAGGGAATTGCAAACAGAATTTTGCATTTAATTTGCAGTAAGGGGATTTAATTTGCATAGTGGGGCAAGCTTTCTACCAATAGCACAGTCAAATACAAATAGGCTGTCTGGGAAGGCTGTGGATTTATTGTCACTGAGAAACTCAGAGAATGGATGAGCCAATCTTAGGACTCATTGGTAAGCTGATTCTGCCCAGGCACATTGTGATGAACTGTATGGCCTCTTGACATCTTCTTTGGGACTGTTTTTTTGTGTTTCTGTCACCTTCCAAAGCTGACTCCGGACTTTAACCCCTCACACATCCCACTCAGACTAGGGGGAAGTTCTATTGATTGAGCAAGTAGAACTTCTTGTAAAACGTATTGATTGAGCAAATCTCATCTACAATCCATCCATACATTTTATGTTGGCCATTTTATGTCACACAAACATGTTTGTCAGTATTATTTTTCAGAATAGGCCCTAACTTACAGAATCATAGAATAGTTGGAGTTGGAAGACACCTTTAAAGTTCATCTAGTCCAACATCCCCTGCAATGAGCATCCTCAACTTCTCTGGGAAGTTGTATTTCCATGGTGCAGCTCTGAAGGGATGTAAACCAGGTGCATGATTACAGAGGCCATTAGCTGCTGGCCCAAAATTTATCCAGCTACTCTGTTGCACATTCAGCACCAGAAACGTGTATATTTGATTCCAGCACTACTACATAGTTGCTAGAGTTGCTTTCCTTCTTTTCTCTGTACTGCATGAGAAGAACTGTGATAAAAACTACTTGAGGTACAGAACAAGGTGTAGAAAAGCCAGTCTGTTGGGGATCATGGAAATGCCTCACACAAGAGAGGTAACAGAGCCTTTCTTGAGGACTACAGTGTGATCAGTGCTGCAGTCAGGCCCAGGCACTACTGTTTGCAGAAGCATGTTTATGAAAGAGAAGAAAGTTCAAGGAATAATTGTAGGTAAAAGTAAAAGTTCAATATGTTATGTGGGGTGAGAGATGTTTGAAAGTGTCAGGAAAGAGTAGAAATCACAGTGTAAAGACCACAGAAAGAGGTATTATTTCTGAAGTTCAGAGAACCATAGGATGGTACAACACTATTTTTTATCAGCAATGGACAAGTCTGGGGCAAACACCAGGAAACAGAGATTAGCTGAGAAAGAGTTTTCTCCAGTTTTCAAGCTGGAAAAGAGATCTGACTATCTAAGTATAACAGAGCATACAACATAGCAGGGGCTCTACAGCTCTTCAGACAGGCAGGTCTGAATGGATCTTGCAGGACTTACCTTTCTGCAGTGAGAGAATCGCTGAAGGCCAAGGAGTCATCTGACCTTTTCTTCCACCCCCATGAACTTGGCAAAGAGGATTTTTGTCTTTGTCAAGAAGTTACACAGTTGGGCTACAGAACAGGCTGAGCATTGCTCATGTGTTACACACACTCTTGGCTGAGCACATTTGTCACTGCTGGATGACAGTACCAAGTTTCCCTTTTATTTAACAGTTTTCCCACAAAACAGGGTGGAACAGCAATGTTGGCTCACTTCCACATTTTGGGTTTTAACCACAAAGAACTTGTGAGAGCACTTCTAACATTTTTTTTCTAGGAGTGGTGTCATTTCCCCAAGTGCCTGGAGAAGTCTGATGGGTTGTGCAGTCAGTAGGTACTGGACAGGCAGTAGTCCCAAAACAACACTCTATTTCCAGCTATTTACACAGCATATACAAAAAGATCCACACTGTTAAAATGCAA